AAACCCTAAAACAAACCCTAAAACAAACCCCTAAACCTAATCCTAAGCCTTACCTTAATGGAAATCGGCTTTCTGCCGCGGCGGCGTTTTAAAGTGCCCTTCTGTTGCCGCGCTGTTGTCGCGGCGGTGATGACGCGCGGTGATGACGTCGCGGCTTTAGCAACGTGCTTATGTCTCTGCGGATAAGGGCTTCACGGTTTCGTTGTGCCACGGCCTGGGTTACCATCGGGGCCTGCAAAAGACTTTCAGGAGCAGGAGGTCTTAGAGACAGATGCAAAGCAGGGTCCATATACTCACGCTCAGGTGGAGACACAGCTGTTTTCGGGGTCTGAGCAGCGCGAGTGGGAGGAACAGTTGGGGCCTGTCCTAAATACACGTACATGCAGAAAAGTACAGAGTGGAGAGCAACATAGGATTGAGGGCCAACTATCCAAGAAAAGAAGGAGACATTAACAAGCCACTCCCTGGCTCGGATATAAGGAAGGGTGTGGAGTTCATGCTCCAGAAGAGTTCCTTCCAGCAGTTTCCTTGCCAAGATTTCCTTGCCACTAACCAGGTTGGTCAAGACTCTTTGTGTTGGGATTTAAGTGGTAATTGAGGCTCCCCGCGAAGAACTCGGGGACTGCTATGGCTTGTGAATCACCTAAGGATGTGTAACCTGGACCTTTTTCAGTGAATGCTGTGTATTCCTGCCTTTCTAAATAAAAAGGGGTTTCACTTCATTATAACAACTGGTTTGGTGAGCACATGCTTCATGCGCATGTGTGATTTATGCACACGCACAGTGCTGAAAATGGAGCATTTAGAAGCTCAGCTGTTTACTTTCCAAGTTACCTTCTGTTGTGGCCCGGCAGGAGCCGTTGGAGCTGCCACAAGACTCCGACAGCGAGGGGTCTTATAAGTCGGCCTTGGAGGAAGTGGAGGATGCTGGACGGGGTGTCAACTCTGAGCAGGGCGGGGAGAGATTGGTTGGCCACCAGGTGGCGGCAGAGCATTGGATCAAAGGGAATGTTCAGGAAAACATTTGGAAGTTGTTTCAGGATGCATGCAGACGAAGGGCTACTCGACGTAAAGAACAACTGCGTAATTGTAGGAGATGATTGTGCTTAACTAATGCTGATTAAGATCCTCTCCTGATTATAAAAGAGACTGTTTGTGCCACGCCTGTTTGCAGGAGTCAACGTTCTCGTTCACGTTCATGAATTAACCGAAACCAACTTGGAGAAGTGAGTTGCTGTGAGAAGCCTGTTTGCAGTGCTGCGTCGGAGTGTAGGACTTTTTGCCAGAGTGATTATATCTTTGTTTATTTTGGGCTTGCAGCCAATGAGAGCCTGGACTGATTAAAACATTCTTTTGTATGTCTGTTTTGGCTTTCATTCCTGACGGAGAAGGGGGGTCAGAACAGGTTGGGATTGCCTGGTTCTTTTACAAAACTTCGGAACCAGAATAGCAGTTAAGAATATTCCCTCAGCATCCTTCCTGGGAAGTGCTTTTTTTTAAAAAAA